GCGCTGGAGCTGCTGATGCAGGAGTCCGGGGAGGGCGTGCGGCAGGCGCCGCCGCCGCGGGGGTGCGCCCGGGCGCGGGGCGGCGCCGGGGCAGAGCGCCGGCCGCTGACGCAGCTCTCGGCCAGGGCCAGGGAGGCTGCGGCGGCGGCCCTCGGCGGGCCCGGCGGGGTGCTCAGAGGAGGAAAAGGTACCCATACCTCTACCCTGCCTTCGTTTTCCCTTTTTTGGGCCTCCTGTGAGGCCCTCGCCGCCACCGCTGGATTCGCCTCGAAATCCTGGTTAGAACGCACCCCGGGAGAGGTCTGGGGAGTAGCGGTATCGGTAGCTTTTGATTTCCCCAGGTGCGGGCGGCCGCAGTGGAGCGCAGTGTCAGGCGGGGGCGCATTGCTTTGAAGTTCAACTACTGGGAGGGCCACGAGGACGACGCTCGGCTGGCCAGACTTTCGCCCGCGTACGGCCGCCTGAAGGGGTATCAGAAGGTCGGCGTGCGGTGGCTCTTGGCGCAGGCGCAGGGCGGGTTTGGCAGCATCCTCGCGGATGAGATGGGGCTGGGCAAGACAGCGCAGACGCTGACTTTCCTGGACCTCTGGCAATCTGTCGGGCGTGATGGGCGCTCGACTGGGGATCAGGTGCCCTCGGAGCCGCCCGAGCCGGACGTCCAGAGGCCAGTGAGGCCTTCGCTCGTCCTGATCCCAGCCTCTGTGATAAACACCTGGGAAACCGAGGCTCAGAAGTGGTGCCCCCATCTGACGGCGTTCACATATCATGCTGGCTCGGCTCGAGAGAGGTGCGAACTGGCGGATAAGTACTTCGCCGAACACGACGGCAGGTGTGCGCTGATCCTCACTACGGCTGGAGTTCTTCACTGCAGGGACGATCGGGCGTTCTTCTTCGGCAGGCTGCACTTCGACTTCCTCGTCATCGATGAGGCCCACTGCATGAAGAACTCGGAGTCCGCCCGCTTCCGCGACGTGACCCGGGGCATCCGTGTCGATCGTCGCGTGCTGCTCACGGGCACGCCCGTGCAGAACTCCCTGCGCGAGCTCGCCAACCTCCTGACCATCGTGCTGGCCGCCCCAGGGGAGCAGCGCGGTCAGGCGAGGCGGGGACAGGAAACGCAGACACTAAGATAATCGTCAGTTCCCAGGAAGACGTGTGTCCCCGGGCCCCTTCACCAGGGCCGGCGCACGTCCGCGGTCGTGGAGGAGCTGGGGCGGGTGGTGGAGACGGGCTCGCTGCGCGCGCTCCAGACCCGCGCTGCGCCCCTCATCCTGCGGCGCCTCAAGAGGAACTTCGGTACGGCAGGTTCACGCGGCATTGGCGCGCCGGCGACGCCAGCGAAGGCGTTCAAGGTTGAATTCTGCGACGGGGAAGCGCCGAGGGACACGGGGACGCCACTGGACCCGATGGAATTCGACCTTGAACGATCGGGGCCGCGATCGGTTCAAGGTTGAACGATCGACGCGGTGTCGAAAGCCTTCGCGCGGCCCGACGCCGCACCAACCTACCGTAGCAAATCATGCAAGCCTTGTATGCTCTCGTGGCTCCGTCTGTAGAGTGCACTAGCGTCGGCGTCGATCAGCGCTTGGCGATCGACTGGTGCAGTGCCGACTCAGCGTCGCTTCGCGTCGGCCATCTTCTATGAGCGTCGATTTGGCGTCGATTAGCGTCGACTCGCAAGAATCGACAAAATGGTACAGCGGAAACCCATGCCAATAAATACCCTGCTTGCCTCCAGGGTGCCCTGGGTTTCTTGGACTTCGATGGTTTTGCTATGGAATACGTGACGCTCCCGCCCCAACAATCGATGGACGTCCTGGGGTCTCAGGGCTGGGCTTCTTGTGTAGGGTTTCTTGTGGACTGGCCTCCACTGTAGGTGGGGTCTCTTTCTCCTCGTCCTGCCCCTCCTGTCCATCATTCTTTTTCTCCTCGCGTCGATTTGGCGTCGATTTGGCGTCGAGCAGCGTCGACGCGAAGGAGGCGGCGAGATGGTATGGGAGGCTCCCATGAGATGCCGCAGCCAAGAGGAGCCCAGAGATCCGATGTCGTGATTTTTTCAATACGGGGTCCCCGGAAGTCTCGACCCATTCCCCAGGACTCGTTTTTCATCCTGAGTCGTTTTTGACGGTCCCGACGCCCGGCGAGGGTCCGTAGGGGCCGAAATAAGCGAAAAGCCTCCGTTTTGATTTTTTCAATGCGTTGGATCTCTGGGAGGAACGTAATGTCCGACCTGCCGCCGAAGCAGGGCCACACGCTCCGATGCGCGCTCGACGGCCGGCAGCAGGCGCTGTACGACGCGGAGGTCTCGCGGGCGCGGGCGGCAGCGCAGAGGGGCGGCCGGGACACGCTGAAGGCCAGGCTCAAGTCGGGCACGTCCCTCTACGTACAGGGGGAAAACTTAAAAATAGCAAGAGAATAGCTGGGGGACTTTTTTTCGTGACTATTCCTAGTTCTTTTGTTTTTTTTGTCAGTTTTTATGGTTCTTCCACAACCTGCCTGTAGGATGACATGCCCGACCTAAGGCCAGGCGGGAGTTCGTGCGCACCCTGTTCCACCGGCTGCGGCGCCTGTGCGGCCACCCGCTGCTGAGCCAGACGCGGCTTGACGAGCGGGACTACGGCCGGCTGGTGGACCTGCTGTGCGGGTTGCGGCCCGACTTCCAGAAGGCGCCGCGCGAGCGGGCGCTGGCGCACGTGAAGGGCTGGAGCGACTTCGACGTCGCCGTGGCGGTCAGAGACTACGGGCTCGCGGACCGGCTGTTCGAGGGGGGAATTAATACATGACCACCGCCTGTAGGATCGATTTTCGGGGACCTCTACATGCGGTGGATATGGATATATTCGGGCCCCAGGGGGCCAAACTATATCCGTATCCACTGCCCGCTGGATATGGATAAATCCCCGCCTCGCAGGCTGGGGCCGGGGTTCGACCGCGCGCGCTTCGAGATGCCCGCCCGGGCCGAGCTGGTGGAGGGCAGCGCCAAGATCAAGGAGCTGGAGGGCTTCTCCTCCCTTCACGCCTGCGCCTCAACACCCACTAAACCACCACCCAACCCAACCGCGAAGGCCCCAGTTTGCCCTGTCTGGGGGCGTCGGGGAACACCCTGACAAAAACACAGTGTGGAACCCCTTACCCCTCTTGCTCTCTGTCGTGCCTCCCTCTGGCCCTTCCCGCCTGCTTCGTCCCGCCGGCCCTGGCCTCCCGCCTGCGCGTTTGCCTTCGTTTGCTTGCTTCTCTGTCCCTCTGTCCCTCTCCGTCGCCGTGCAGCGCAGACTGCTGGGAGCCGGCGTCGCCGCGTTCTGGGCCAGAGCGGCTGCTTTTACCCGCGTTTGCGCCGCCGAGGTCTGGAGTGCCCCTTACCCCCTCCCCCCAACCCGAAATTTGGGTCTGCGGGTTGAACTGGGGTGGTCGTCAGCACCCCTCCTTGCCGGGCCGAGCCTGGCCCAGGGATCGGTGTGCGCGGCTTCCCCAGCCAGGCCCCGGGGGGAGGGCGCGCGCATCCCGGTCCTGGCCCCGGGGCCTGCCTGGCCAGGATCGGCGCACGCGTGCCCGCTGGTCGTTGAAAAGGGGGAAGGTCTGGACTCCTGGATTCCAATCCTCAAGTGAGGCAGAACCACCCGGACCCGACAATGTGTGTCGTTTACTAAGCGGCCCTGGGCGTTTACTGAACAGCCCTGCCCTGCTTGATTCCTTCCCTGGGTGCGTTTACTAAGCGACTTCGCGTGTCGGGGTGACTATTATGAGGGTGGATGTTCGGATTAATCCACTTCGAGCGCCTTCCTAACCTTAAATACTTGATCTGTTTTGTGTTTTGTTGTTTTTGTTGCTGCTCTTTGGGCGGGCCCGGATCCCATCTACTCTATATCTGCCCTCCTACTTCATGTATCCACCTACTTCTTCCGACTGGCGGGTGCAATCAGTATCTCCTCGAGGAGCTGATCCGGCTGCTGCGCAAGCAGCGCGAGGCGGGGGCCAAGACGCTGGTGTTCTCCCAGTTCACGGAGTACCTGGACGTCATCGGCGAGGCGCTGAGCGCCGAGGGCTTCATGTACGCCAGGCGCTTCGCGGTCGATCGGCCGCCACGAGGGAGAGCCCGGGGCCCCCAGGAGCAACCAAACAGGCACTGCCCGGGCCAACAAGAGGCCATCGGTACTGCTAGCAGCCAATTCCGACAGCGTGAGGGACTTTTTTTTGGGGGGGGGGGGGGCAGGGCCTGTTTGGTTGCTAATGGCCCGCGACGCAAATGCGGTCCAGTTGCGGTCCAACAGGGCCAAGCGCAGCCCGAGCGCGGTCTAACCGCCAACCACGCGCGGCTTAACCGCGGCCCAGAGGCGGCTTAAACGCGTGGCCAACCGGCAACGGCGCCAAGGCTGGACGGTGGGACCAAGATCGAGGACCGGCCAGAGGTGATGCAGAACTTCCAGGCCAAGGGCTCCGGGGTGGACGTCTTCCTGCTCTCCATGAAGGCCGAGGGATGGACGGGTGAGGGAGGGAGGGAGGGAGGAGGAGGAGGAGGAGCTGGAGGAGGAGGAGGAATGATGCTCTCGGAGGTGTTCCACATGGTTTTCGGAGATGTCCGGAGGAGGGACGAGGAGGGGCGAGCCAGAAGCCGCACCGCGCTGACGCTCTGATTGGACTGGCTCGAAGGCCCTTGGACCTCGGCAGCGTCTGAGTCTGGCCTGAACCAGACGTCTCCCCAGGGGCTGCTGCTACGCCCAGAGGCCTGGGACGGATGCTGCCTCCGTGCCAGCACGACCAGACTCAGCCACGCGCAGAGGGGGGTGGGGGGAGGGGGGAGGGCGTCTTAGAAGCACCCCTGCTTCTTAGAAGGCGCGGGCCTTATCTATAGAGTAAGGCTGGCGCCTTCTAAGAAGCAGCCTCCTTCTAAGAAACCCTCCCCCCTCCCTCCACCCCCTTGTGCGCACTGCCAGCAGACAAGATGAGGGCGGCGGACGACGGCGGAGGAGACGGCGGCGGCGGCGAGCGACGGGGGACAGCGGCAGCCGCACGCGCACGTGCCAAGCTGCTCGGAGAGGAAACGCAGGAGTGATGGGGGGAGAAGTGAGTCTTCTGCTCCTCCTCCTCCTCCTCCTCCTCCTCCTCCTCCTCCTCTCCTTCCTGCCCTTCGGGAAGGCCGGCGGCACGGGCCTCAATCTGACCGCCGCCGACGTGGTCGTGCTGATGGACGTGTCCTTCAATCCGCAGGACAACCGCCAGGCCCTTCGGGAGCGCACTGACCGCATTCGGGAAGACTCTCGGCGCTCTCGCGGAAGTCTTCGCGGAGGTCCCCGACGGTCCTCGGTGGTTTTCTCGGCGGCTCTCTCGGCGGTTCTCACGGCGGTACTCGGCGGTCTTCTCCGCGGTCTTCTCGGCGGTCCCCTGCAGTCCTCGGAGGTTCTTTCCGGTTGTCGGAAGGTCTTCGCAGTTTCTCGCAGCGCACAGATTGTGCTCACATTCGTCGTTTTCGTCTTCGGCTCTGTCGTCGTCTTTGTCTTCGTCGCCGTCCTGGTCGTTGTCGCGCCGTCGTCGCCGGATGAGGCGGAACATGCGGGGAAGAGGGGTAATAAGGCAGGTGGATGATGATGACGGTGGTGGTGGTGACGGTGACTGTGACGGTGACGATGACGATGACGATGATGATGATAATGATGATGATGATGATGATGATGATGATGATGATGATGATGATGATGATGGTGGTGATGGTGATGGTGATGATGATGATGATTATGATGATGATGATGATGATGCTGATGAGGTTGATGATGATGACGATGCTGCTGCTGATGATTATGATGATGATGATGATGATGATGATACTGATGATGACGATGATGATGATGCTGATGCTACTGTTGATGGCGATGCGGATGATGAATATGATGATGACAATGGTGACGATCTTGTATGATGATGTTGGTGATGATGCTGATGATGATGATGCTGCTGCTGACGATGAGGGTGGTGATACTGACGATGATGATGATGCTGATGACATGATGATGCTGACGATGGTGATGATGCTGGGGATGCTGATGAGGATGTTGACGTTGTTGTTGATGATGGTGACGATGACGATGTTGATGACGATCATGATTCTGATGATGATGATGGTGACGATGACGATGATGTGATGACGATGATGACGATGATGATGCTGATGATGATGCGGCAGCTGATGATGATGATGATGATGATGAACATGCTGACGATGATGATGATGATGAAGATGCTGATGATGCTGATGATGATGGTGATGAGGCTGCTGATCATGCTGCTGTTGCTGATGATGATGATGCTGCTGCTGATGCTAAAGATGGATGATGGTGATGCTGATAATGATGATGGCGATGATGACGATGATTACGACGACGATGCTGCTGATGATGATGATGTTGTCGATGATGCTGATGATGATGCTGATGTTGATGCTGGTGATGATGTTGCCGCTGATCATGCTGATGATGCTGATGATGAGGATGATGATGCTGTCTATGATGCTGATGACGATGATGATGAGGATGAATGTGACGGTGAATATGCTGATGATGCTGATTTTGCTGATGCCGATGAAGATGCGGATGATGATGGTGATGCCGATGGTGATGATGATGATGATGATGATGATTATGATGATGATGATGCTGATGATGATGATGATGATGATCATGATGATCATGATGATTACGATGACGATGCTGATGATGATGAGGATGCTGCTGATGATGATGATGATGATGATGATGATGCTGATGCTGCTGCTGATGATGATGGTTCCATATGATGATGCTGATGGTGATGATGATGATCATGACGATGGTGATGCTGGTGCTGATGCTGATGATAACGATGATGGTGATACTAATGATGATGCTGCTGATGCTGATAATGCTGATGCTGCTGATGCGACTGATGATGATGCTGCTGTCGATGATGCTGATTGTGATGATGCTGCTGCTGATGATGATGCTGCTGATGATGATGCTGCTGATGATGATGCTGGTACTGATGATGATAAGCACGATGATGCTGCTGGTGATGATGCTGATGATGCTGATGCTGATGCTGCTGATGATGATGCTGATGCTGATGAACATGATGATGCTGTTGCTGCTGATCATGATGCGGCAGCTAATGCTGATGATGATAAGGATGTTGATGATGCTGTTGATGATCATGATGATGCTAACGATGCTGCTGCTGATGATGATGATGACGACGACGATGATGATGATGATGATGATGATGATGACGATGCTGATGCTGCTGCTGATGATGATGATGACGCCGATGATGATGATGATGATGATGCTGATGATGATGATGATGATGATTATGATGATGATGCTGCTAATGATGCTGATGATAACGATGATGGTGATACTAATGAGGATGATGCTGATGCTTATAATGCTGATGCTGCTGATGCGACTGATGATGATGGTGCTGTCGATGATGCTGATTGTGATGATGCTGCCGCTGATGATGCTGCTGATGATGATGCTGGTGCTGATGATGATAATCACGATGCTGCTGCTGATGATGATGCTGATGCTGCTGATGATGCTGCTGCTGATGATGATGCTGATGCTGATGAACATGATAATGCTGTTGCTGCTGATCATGATGCGACAGCTAATGCTGATGATGATGATAAGTATGTCGATGATGCTGCTGCTGATGATGATGATGCTAATGATGCTGCAGCTGATGACGACGACGACGATGATGATGATGACGATGCTGATGCTGCTGCTGCTGATGATGATGATGCCGAGGATGAGGCTGATGATGATGATGATGATGCTGATTATGATGATGATGAAGATGATGATGATGCTGCTGATGATGATGAAGATGCTGATGCTGATGCTGATGAGATGATATGAGGATGAGGATGAGGATGAGGATTAGGATGATGATGATGATGATGGTGATGATGATGATGATGATGATGATTATGATGATGATGATGATGATGATGATGATGATGATGATGATGATGATGATGATGATGATGATGATGATGATGATGATGATGATGATGATGATGATGATGATGATTGGGAGGAGGATGTTGAGGATCAGGAAGAGGCGGACGAGGAGGAGGAAGAGGAGGAACAGGAGGAGGATATGGACCAGGAGGGTGAGAAGGAAGAGGAGGAGGAGGAGGAGGAGGAGGAGAGGGATGAGGAGGAGGAGGAGGAGGGGGAGGTGGATGAGGAGAAGGAGGAGGAGGATGAGGAGGAGGAGGAGGAGGAGGAGGATGAGAACGAAGCGGCGGAGGAGGAGGGTGAGGAGGAGGAGGATGAGGATTTGGAGGAGGAGGGGCAGGAGGAAGAAGAGTCGGAGTCGGAGTCGGAGGAGGAGGAGGAGGAGGATGATCAGGAGGAGGAGGAGGAGGAGAACGAGAAGGAGGAGGAGGACGATGAGGATGGGGTTTAGGAGGAAGAGGGGATAATAATGAGATCGGAGGCGATTTGTCGGCGGGCGATTTGGGAACTGTCTGGAGGAGATCACGCCCTGGGGGGGTTCTCTGTGTTTTCGATTGTTTTTCGGCGGTCCTCTGCGCTCCTCAGCGGTCTCAGGAGGTCCTGGGAGATTTTGGGAGGTTTATGGTGATGATCATGGCGATCCTGCTCATGTTCATGATGATGACGGTGATGATGTTGGTGGCGTTGGGGACGCTGGTGATGACGATGCCGAGTACAATGACGATGCCGCTGTCGCTGATGATGACGATGGTGACGACGATGCTGATGACGACGATGATGAGGATGGGGATGGCGATGCGAATGATGACGATGATGTCGCGGTTGCTGCTGATGATGATGTTGCTGATGCTGATGATGACGATGCTGATGATTATGATGATGCTGACGCTGGTGCTGATGCGGGTGATCATGGTGATGGTGGTGATGATGCTGATTACGATGCTGATGTTCATGACGATGCTGCTGATGATGATGCTGCTGTCAATTCGATGGTACTGACGATAATGATGATGCTGTCTATGATGATGATGATGCTCATGCTGATGCTTACGATGCCGCTGAAGCTGCTGCGGATGATGATAATGCTGCTGATTGTGTTCATGACGATGGTGAGCATGATGATGCTGATGATGCTGCTGATGCTGATGCTGATGCTGCTGATGATGAATGTTATGGTGGTGGTGATGATGATGCTCATGATGCCGATGCTGGTGGTGGTGCTGATGATGATGATGATGATGATGATGATGATGATGATGATGATGATGATGATGCGGCTGATGATGCTCATGCTGATGATGATGATGGCGATGATGCTGATAAGGATGATGATGCTGCTGATGATGATGTGGACGATGATGATGACGATGATGACGATGATGATGAT